ACGCAGTAATGCATATATTACTACTTGGCGGCAAAAATCGGTAAGGTGACAGTACTTCCCGGGACGATCTTTTTCACAAGGAATTCTACTGCTACTAAACTTAGGGTGTGTAATATTGAAAATGCAAGATGGTCTGGATTGTGTTCCGGGGCGTATATTATTATTAATCTAAGTTTTTGATCAAAACTTTAGTTATGTGGAAACTACATAATTATCTAAAAGGGTATGTCAGTACCCGTCATAAACTGTTCATCCCTAATAGATTAACTTCTGATAGTATATGACGTGCTGCTGATGCTTATATCAAATTAGTTGGATCAATACATGGAAAATTAAATTTGGTAAGATGCTTAAAGATGACGGTATAGATGTAGTAGAGACGGAGAAACGTGTATATGACAATAGTTTCAATCTGGGTACTATAAAAGAGATGGAAACAGTATTATGCACGATATAACCTTTACTGGGTTCGCGAAGTAACAAATTGATTTACTTCTATTTTTATTAAACATGAATGAATGCAAATATCTATTTTCAGTTTTAAACATGTACTTAAAGTTAACATCTGGAGTAACAACTCCAGATAGAGAAAGAGAATAAATATTATAACAAAACAGACAACAAAACTATCGCGTAGCTAGTATAAAAAGGTACTTTATTATACCATTCTTAATGGAATCAATCATAACACGATTCAGTGCACTACCTACTTAACACGGTCCCTGTGTAACTGGTAATCAGAAACTGACCCCTCACGTGCTATTTTTTTTAATTTGCAAATACGTTGGAATTGGTGTATGAATGGAAAAATCATTTCCATACGTTACAATTTTTGTGGTCCATACGTGCAAGTAAATAAAGATGATCTAGTTTACACGTACAAATTTTGTTTATCGCTTAAATTTATAAAGGGCCATGCCCCATACGTGATGCACTCATGTATCGTTTAGACCTCGAAATGCAACACATATGATGCATGTACAGGGAACGTGTACATGCATCATATAAATGTGCAATAAATGTGCTTGATAGGATCAGAACAATTTATAATTATGATCACTTTAAAGAAAAAGTACTTAATGTATGATGCACAAAACAGTTTACATTCAATTGTACTCCAATAAATGTTACAATTTGTGGTTTTAATCTAGGATGTAAACCTAATATATGTACATACAGCATGATCATTCAGGCCGTAAACATTACTATTAAAATGTAAGCAAACAGTTTCTTAAATATGTGTATATTTTAGTCGCATTGCTTTTTTTTCAGTATAAATTTCAATGGAATCCACAAACAAATAAGAGGTGAAACCGCGCAGCTCTGCGGTGTATGTGATTAAAAACGTAGAAACCACTAAATTGGTTTATTTTGACTACTTTCGCGGTTTGATGACGTACGGCATTTTGCTTTTGATAAATACCGCCAACATAAGATCTTTATATTGCAGATGTTTAATTTTGGGGCAATTTACAAACTGGACCCCTGAGTGTCTTTGAGAGATAAGTTTATGGAAATGTAAATTTTTCATGAAAAATTGTCATAGACTTTTTTTATAACATCAAGGACGGGACGAACAAGTCGTGCGCCTGATGGTAAGTTACACGCTCGTCCATAACCATTACAGTGCCACTCACAGCTTTAAATTGCAAATATCTGAGGGGCACTACCATTGCGCCCGTCACCATGACACAATAAGTTGACAAGTCATATGTGCCTGTAATTTCACCATAACATTCATAAGATGAAAGAAAATAAATGGACTGTTCTTAACGAGTAGTAGAAGATAGAAGATGTAGTGACAAAGATAGAGAAAGAGATGCTTAGATGGTTCGGACATGTAGAGGGAAGGAATGGTAAAGATGGACAAAACGCATATAGAATGCGAGTGTGAGATCATTGGTTTTATTATTTTGACCAACATGGGGTGGTCATTATTCATACTAACAGAGAACAGTGATTAATCATGCAGTTTTTATCACATTGCCCGTTTAATGAGGTCATTCCGGTCTTTATTCATAGTGACAGGGCTTATTAAATTGCCTGTAACATTTACACCCTTCGCTACTGTTAAGTTAGTCTATGAAAAATGGTTGCTTCCGCTGTCCTGGGGTATGTAATGGGCCTCATTCCATATTCATTTGACATTTTTTATCTTGGTAGCATTAGTTACTTTTACTAGCATATTATAAATATTTCGGCACATGACACCAAACAAATTCCTGATGTGTACAATAATAACTTTTTGAAATTTCTGTGGTTATTGTAACGCATCGGCACTAGAGCATAATAGGTATTTTAAAAAACCAATAGCTTTTTGATATTTCTTAATACTGTCATATAGCAACTTGTTTCAATTAAGGATTGCCTTTTTAATATCTGGTCGCCTGGTACCTACATTAGAGAACATTCTACTCGAGATGCCCTAGGGTATTTGGTTTCCTTCGTTTCATATCCTGGACGATCGACTTGATTGACGGATGTTTAAATCCGATACCAATATGTGCCTTTGATGATTGGCCGAAGTAGTTCATGCGTAAAAGAGGATCAAACAAACATAATATATTGGCATTTATTATGTTACACATATAGGTACTGTGTTATCTGTGTGAAACTCTGCTTGCCTAGTACCAAAAATAATATAATGGGTAATATTATATGGTAACACAGATACCCAATCTCATAGAAATAAGTAATAAATAACACACACATAGACAACCACAAATTACACCTAAACTCACGAGAGAAATAAATGGTCATACAAATATTTCACCCGGCCCGGAAGTCGAACCCAGGACCTCTGCGTGGCAGACCAGCATAGTAAACGTTCGGCCACAGGAACAAAGAAATGTAACTTCGCTAATTTAGACGCTTATTTTGATTCTTAACGCCGATCAATATGGTGCCAAGTAAACCCGCGATGCGGTTGTATTGTATAATATTCGAAAAGGCCAACAGATGGCAGCTATTACATTTTTGTCAAGGTTATTACTCTTGTTCAGGCGTTATTACGTGTACAATAACATATTATAATAAAATCGCCAAGAAGCTGAGTTTGTACTTTGGTATTTTAAAGTAAAAGTTTGGAATAAAGCGTTACTTAGTTTTAAGAATAAATTCAAAGAAGTGCTATCAATACAATTTATTGCAAACTAACAAATCAAAATGTATACCATTGAGAAACCTTGGATTTGTTATATTTTCAACAACAGTTCCCTGTTTTCAACAATTATCATAATTGTAAATGAATTACAATTGAAAATTCCTGAATTGCTTTTCAAATAGCGTTGCAAATCTTTTTTAAATTTTTACGCTACTTATTTTGTATGTACACACCTACCTACGTCAAATTTTCGAGATTTGCAAGTGCCGCCATCTACATTTTTAAATGTGTACTAAACTTAATTTGTAAATCTATCACAAGAAAACATTGTACTCCGGATATTTAAGTCATAACGGTTTTTCTTTCCTAAAGAATTAATGTGATCGGTTGGGATATGTCCCATATTTACACGTGTCAAATGTTATGGCGATTGCTTGCGTATTTCATGCGTAATATAAAAGTATAAATACGGAGAAAAACAAAACGAATGAAATTACGCGGCTTGTAACAAGTAATACAGCGTTGGTATTGCGCCCAGGGGAAACATTCTGGAACGCTGCGACATTTCTCTGGCATTTTCGACTTTAAAATAACGTCGTACCCTCGACGTATACCGAAAAAGTCACTGAAACATCTATTGGCAAAATATTTCTTACTCTCATTATCATCAGTTTATTGCAGTCCACTGTTAAACATTGGCCTCCCATAATTTCTGCCATTTTGCCGGGTTCCTCAGCTTGTCTCAGATCGTCGCTCTATAGGGCCTGGGGGAGTATTATTGTATTATCTTACTTTCGGTGCCCGTCAAGTCTATTTTGACATAACTATTTAACGAAACACACGTCATTCATCATTTCTGTATCAAAATTATATCTTTGTCAAAAGTAAAAGTTAGGTTTACAATTTTTATCTGTATTTTTAAATGACATGACGTTCAATATCCGGGTTTTTTATTTCTACATTCGACCACTCGGTGGATGCCAATTATTGCGTTGTTTGAAGAAAAGCTAAATATTCAATGCTGTACTTGAAATAAACAAAGAAAAACTAATGTTACTAAAAGATTGGTGGGTGCTTGGTTCCAATAAAGCTGACATTAAATTTTTATAGCAAGTCAAAGAATTATTGGATTTACATTCAGATATCGGGTGATTACGTAACATAACAGTTCTACCGGTAATGAAACCCGGGATCTTCTCATCCACGCAATATTATTTGCATTTATAATCTGCATATTGCGTAAACACGACCACTCATCCATAAAGTAGATGCAGCAAGAGGTCGAGCTTCGCAGGGCACACTTTATAATATGCATTATAATATAGAACATACTGTCTACTAAATAAAGTATATATTGCTTCTATCAAAGGAGATTTTGCTTGGCTTTCATAGAAATATCGACTTTGTTTAGTTTATTATGTATGTAATATTATATATAATATTATAACTTTGAACTTTCAATTATGTGCCGTTAACACACGTTGCACTGCAGGATGTATGTAAATGCAAGTAGGACGATGCAAGGAGATAGAGAGATGCAAATTGCAATGCAAATGATTGGAGTATTATTAAATAATGTAAATAAAACGACCGTGTCCGAACGAGACAATAATAACACTCATTTATTGCAAAATATATATCGATCAGCGTGGTGTTGCAGTAAGCATAAATCGAATACATATGATATCGTGCGGGTTTACTTGTGCATATTAAAATAATAAAATGTAAATCATAAAAATGTACGGTTTCACACGTACATACTGCCTACTCTAAAAGGACAAAACGCAAGAGCAAAAAGATGCAAAGTGCTACTCTAAAAGTAAAAAATATTAAAATAAATTAAAGAAAGTACCTAAGTAAAAGGAGGTTAATATAAAATAAAACATGTAAAATTAAATTAGACAGTTTCTCCACGTATCGTCTTGAAGTGGATGGTTCTGTGTTTTGCCAATGGAGAAGTGGTCTTATCCGCTGATCCAGGTTCGTTAGACCGCGGCGGCGGCGCGCTGACAACGATTGTGGGAAGCTGCTGCTGTTGCAAGTTTCCTCGGGGATCCTCCCGCGACTTTCGTTTGCACAGCCAAGTCGTTCCAATTGCAATAGCTACAATGACTACGGAGAATACAATGTAGATCATCGTATAGTGGTGAATGTCGTCGTTGCTTATAATTTCCTTTTGTTGTTGTAATTCTTGAATTTGCTGTTTTAATTTCCAAAGGGTAATGTTATGGCTTTCGACAACAAATGGTATACGTGCTATTGAAGAATTGACCAATGTGTTTAGGGTTGAATTTGGAAATATTTCTCCTGTGTTGTAGTCGTCAGTATAGAGTTGACTAATGTAGTCATGATGTCCCTGAATGGTAAAGGTGTCACCTTTCAAAACACAATCTTGACCTATATTGATAAGGCCATTGTATTGTAGACATGCAGTCGCCACTCCCGAGGGACACAAAATGCGAACTTTGCATTCTTCACAACATGTAAACAACCATGTATCTCGGGTTTGTAATTTCATCCACCTGTCGGCGCAATCCTTTATTTCGCTCCGACAATAAGTTTCTTTGCTATTATCATTCATTATTTTGACATCACATATTGATTGATCTACCCTTAGTTCGTATAGGGGGCTGCTTAACGGACATAGAAGTTTCTGTTCGTTGTATTTGATGCAATTTTGTAAATCCAATTCAGTAAGCGACATAAAGGTATCTTTTCTTAAATTAAATGCAATGTACTCTGAGGCTGGAGTGATGTGAACATATCTGTTTTTTCTATGTTGATGTATGGGTATGACCTTGTTAAGTTCATAGCTGTCTGTTCCGAGTAATGGTATTTTCACTTCGATTATGACGTATTGTTCCGTCACTCTTGCCTTAACGCGTAAAATCTTGGATACCTCCTTAATGTTGTTTGCGTCCACAGGGGCTAGATGTTGTCCTTGTACTTGTCTAGAGATAATGTTTAACTGATTCTGCAGCTGTTCTGGAGCCAGAAGATGAATGTCTAATCTTCCATGGTAAATGTTTGTTACCGTATTAATGACAGTTTCTTGGATCCGCCTCAAGTTTGAAAGTATGACGTCAAGTGCAACGGCATTTGCAGTGAAATAAAATAGGTGGATTGCATTTTGATGCACCTCGTGCACTTCGTTGGAGATATTTTTCAATTGTTCATCAATTATTTGGAATTGTTTATTCATAATGACCTCGTTCCGCTGTAAAATGTTATTTTGCGATTCCAATATTGAAGTTTGATTTTTTAACAAACTTTGCAAATAGTCTTCGTTTTGATGGACTCTATTTATGTCCTTTTCATATTTCTGTGCAAAATTGTCGTCTAGAATTCCAAATAAATAATGTGATACAGTTCCGATTCCGTTTATGAGTCCTCGCTTGGGTCTAGACTGAGGCTGTAGTTTAAGAATACTGTTGAAATGCTCCAATTCATTCAATTCGTGCCTAAATTGAGTTAAAGTAAGTGTGCAAGTACTTTCTCCGTTGCAAATGTTCTCTAGGTGATGCAAATAATTTTCAACATTTTCCACACTCTTCCAGTAGGTCGACATATTGTGATACACGATTAACTTCCAGTTGTTTTTTATTAATTGCAAATCTGCAAGTCGATCGAAATATAACGCCTTGTTTTCGTTTAATGTCGTTATTTTGTGTGTTTGTTGCATGGATGGTGCGATTAATGCGAAAATCATAAGAGTCAATGCAGAGATGAAAATGTTTGGCTTGTTTCTTATGCGTCTTGCAGGGGTTGTTGTTTCTGTAGTAGTTGCTGGAACTGCTGAATGAGGGTTTTCTTTGTCAGGATGCACTGGTAATGGGCACAGTTTGACAACCGGGCGTTTGAAAACTGCAGTTTGTGTTTTGACGGTAACTGCTCGTACGTAGCCGTCCTTTCCAGGGTGAACGTCAGCAACCTTTGCAAGGGCCCATTTCGAGGGCGGCAGGTTATCGTCTTTCACCAATACTACGCTGTCAATTTCAATGTTCTTCGTCGGTAGATGCCACTTACATCTTGTCTGCAATGTGTGAAGATAATCGGATGACCACTTCTTATAACTTTGAAATGTCCGACAGCATTGTACGCTTGGTGTCTTGCTTTGCAATGTGATTGATTTTGCTCTCAAATGCAAAAACATCAGTTGAGGGGTGCCAATGCAGGCCTAGAGCTTTTGTTGATGTAGATTCGTTGAAGTTGACACTCTTGTTACTGATTTGATCTTGAGTTAAATCAGCAAGGAGGCTCGGTTCATTGCTGGACCACTTTCTCAAATTGAAACCAGCTCCGCGTAGCATGTTGATGAGCTGTTGTTGGACTTGCTTTGCCTCTTCTATGCTGTTGTTGCCATGTAAAAGATCATCCACATAAAATTTCTTTTTCAGAACGTCAGCTGCTAACGGATACAATGATGCGTCATCGTTTGCCAATTGTTGCAATGTTCGAATAGCGAGAAAAGGGGCCGCTTTCATACCATATGTTACAGTGCAAAGTTGATATTCTCTGAGGATATTGTGTTGATCTCTCCAGATGATCTTTTGCAGGTGTTGGTCCTCCTCATGGAGCCAAATCATACGGTACATCTTTTCGCAGTCCGCTGTGTAAACATATTTGTAACCTCGCCAACTCAATAACAATAGCTGCAGATCGGATTGCAACTTAGGACCGCACTCCATCAAATCATTTAAGCTATAGCCAGACGATGTTAGTTGCGATGCATTAAAAACGGTTCGTAATTTTGTGGTGGTAGAATCTTCTTTTAACACTCCGTGGTGTGGAAGATAGCATTCTGTACTTCTTTTATCTGTACAGATTTTCATATGGTGCATGGCATCGTATTCCTTCATAAATGCATGATACCTTTCGCTTAGCTGTGGGTTCTTCGCTAGCTTGCGCTCTAATTGCATGTATTGTGCAACGGCCGTAGGCTTCGATTGGCCTAATTGCTTTTCAAAGCCTTCTTTCATAGGCAATCTCACTTCATATGTCCCATTTGTTAAGCGACGTGTCGTTTTGGTGTAGTAGTCTTCGCAGAATTGTTCATCTTTAGTTAACTGTCGTTTTGTCTCTGTGATATCCTCCAACTCCCAATAATTGCTGATATCTTCGATGTTATTGATCACCACATGACAGTTGAATGATTTTGTTATTGAACCAGACAAAATCCAGCCCATCTGCGTCTGTTGTGCTATTGGTTGATCGGGTGAACTCTTTAACAGCCCATCCATAATGATTTCTGCGTAGACTTTTGCATCCAATAGAATATCAACCGGCCTTGATATATTGTAGTCCGGATCTGCAAGCTGAAGATGTTGGATGTGCGCGTACGGTTTTTTCTTAAAAGTCATACTTGGCAAACGGTTAATGACCTTTGTCATTACTAATGCTTCAGTGGTGAATTCATAGTTGTTGAAGAGTGATTTGCAATGCAGTTCGACTTTTCCTTTGCACTTGTTAGGGGAGGTACCTATACCAGATACAGATGCATGTATGCTATGTCGTTTCAACCCTAGTAGTTGTGCTGCATTCTCTGTTATGAGGGTTGTTTGCGAACCTTGGTCGAGAAGTGCGCGCATGGTGGTGTAAGTACCATCCGCGGCTCGTAATTGCATTTGAATTGTTGCAAGTAATATTTCGTCATCATCACCGGCCACGTGATTAGCGTGCACGTTCTGCAGTGAATTTTGTTTGTTCGAGGTCGATGCTCCCTTATTCATTGCAGTAATTGCCTCATGTAGTAAAGTATTATGTGGCATATTGCAGTCTTTGCAGCGTTTCTCGGAATTGCAACCATATTTATGCACATACAAACAATTTTTACAAATGTTTGATTTTGAAATGGCTTGAAGTTTTGCGTCCGGTGTCATATTCTCAAATATTTTGCATTGATATAATCCATGATTTTTATTGCAAATAGGACATGTAATTGCAGGTTTGGAGTAAACATGAAATGTTTTATTGTATGAAGTATTTCGCTTCTCAAATGCAGGTTTGTTAAAATTGTAGGTTTGCTTGAACTTTGGTGCAGAATTTGTCTTGAAAGAACATGTTGGTACCGATTCCTTTTCTTTTTTATTCATCGGCTCCAATGCAATAAATTTGGCTTCCAAAAATTCCATGAATTCGTCCAAGTCTGGTACATCGCGTGGTGATTTTCTTGCCTCCATATAATCGCTGAACGTCACGGTGTCTAATTTCTTTGCAATTAAGTGCACAAATACCGGATCCCAAGACGAAGTGTCGATACCCATGTTGTATATACCATGTATGCACTCCATAGAAGTGTCATGAAGTCGTCTCAGTTCCATGGAAGTTTGTTTTTGAACGTTAGGTTGATTGAGTAGGGTTTCCATCTGTTTGGTGAAAAGTACTTGACGGTTATCGTACCGATGATTTAATATCTTCCAGGCAGAGTCATAATTATCAGATGAAATATGCAAATGTTGTATGAGCCGCTCCGCTTCGCCCCTTAGCTTGCCTTTGAGATGTTGCATTTTTTGTACTTTGTTCAAAGCGGGATTGTTATGCACTGCTTCCTTGAATAGATCTAAAAATGTATTCCACTGAGTATAATTGCCAGAAAAGGTAGGAATATCAATTTTGGGGGTAGAAAGATGCAAATGAACGGTAGAAGACAGCTTCTTATTTAAGGCTTTATTCATAGATCTGAATAAGGTTTCCAGTTCTATATATTGATGTTGGTATTCCGCATCAGCTCCGTCTAGAATGTTGTCAATTTTCAAATGTAAATCTTCAATGTTGTTCCAGCGAATTTGTAAATTTTTCAACTCGTATTCCAACTCCCATTTCTCATGGATAGAGTCAATATCAATATTGTCTGTGACTCTACAAAATGCTCTGAAGTTTGTTCTTTGCAAACTTAAATAGTCTTGAACTTTTTCCAGGTCTACTTGAATTTTTTCGTCTTGCTTGTTTCTTCCGTTCGGTTTCCCATATTCCATTATCATATCACGAGTCCTTTTATAATAATCTTGATATGCCGCAAACACATCCTTTGTGAAATATTCATGTGTCCTATCTTTTTCTGTTTCCAATATTGTGTTGTTGTCTTTAAATTTTTCCCAAACTCCATCTAACGTCTCTAATCTCTTCTTAATGTAATCTTCAGTTTTTCTTATCTTAGGATCTTTTGTAAAATTGCTATGCAGCCTCTCAAGCTCGAGAATGAGCATAGATTGGAGTTCAAGTAACTCATTCTTGGCCGAAGACATTGTCCAAGTATAAACAATAATGCAATAAAGTCACTGTAAAATAGATGCAAAAACTTCGTACTGGTATCTTGTACTTAGTGTCCCGGATATCTCTGCACGATATATGCGCCTTCTCAATTTAACTGGTGAGACCCGCTTCTGGGAGGCCAGTCAAACCGATTCGCTATCGCACTTCAACTTCCAAAAACACCAAGTAAAAAAGGCTCGAAGGACCAAATTATGTGCCGTTAACACACGTTGCACTGCAGGATGTATGTAAATGCAAGTAGGACGATGCAAGGAGATAGAGAGATGCAAATTGCAATGCAAATGATTGGAGTATTATTAAATAATGTAAATAAAACGACCGTGTCCGAACGAGACAATAATAACACTCATTTATTGCAAAATATATATCGATCAGCGTGGTGTTGCAGTAAGCATAAATCGAATACATATGATATCGTGCGGGTTTACTTGTGCATATTAAAATAATAAAATGTAAATCATAAAAATGTACGGTTTCACACGTACATATACTACATTGCATCTACTACGCAATCTGCCTTTCAAAGAAATATTATACGTTATTGTTGAACTGCTAAGTTACACTTTGTATTGTCAGAGGCGAGACAAGTGGGCGGAGTCATGAAGCACGACGCGTCACGCGGCTTTACTCTTTTGTTTTTTGTTGTTTGAAGAAATGTATACTTTATTAAGTAAAGAATATGTTCTATGGTATATTGCATTTTATAAAGTGCGCCCGCCTGCAGCCCGCCGCCCCTTGAAGGAGCTTCGTTTCCATGTGTTTGTTTAATGAAATGTTGCCTTATTTTGTTGAGGATAAAGTTTATGTTGCATTGCTCGCTTTAATGCAGCCCCGCGCCGCGGCAGCGGCGACGCGCGATGTCACCTACGGTCGCTAACTCTCTAACCGTTACCTACCGTAGGCGATGCAGCGCGGCTTTACTCATTTGTTTTTTGTTGTTTGAAGAAATGTATACTATATTTAGTGGAGAATATGTTCTATAGTATATTGCATTTTATAAAGTGCGCCTACCGCAGCTCTCTGCAGCAGTTTGCTTAATGAAATGTTGCCTTATTTTGTTGTGGATAAAGTTTATGTTGCATTGCTCGCTTGAATGCAGCCCGCGCCGCGTCGCGTAGCGTCTACGCGTTATGAATCAAGCCTTAGGCATTTTTTTACGATTTCAGAGAATTTACACGAAAGAATGACACAACCATAGCATACAAAGCGAAAATGGGGGACTGAGGTCTTACAGGTCTTTTGAGACCTGTAGTTGGACCGCCTCGGACGCTAACTAACCACTTCTACTCTATTCATTGTTCTGTGAGTTTAGGCAATACCTAGGTATTGTATAGAATACCGGATTGCATACATACGATAACATATACTATATTCGTCGATCGATATATGGCGCTGTATTTAGGTCCCCAATATGGCGCCTGCAATGTATTTTAAATTATGACGGTCTCGCGTAGTTGCGCCTCTGTTTTAGCGGCGTACCCAGCCTTAAAGTGGATTAAACAAACAAATTCCCTTTCGCATTTATAATATTGAAAAGAAAATTCAACGCCAACATTATCTTGTATGTCTCCAGCAGATAATAATCATAAAGTAACCCAAAGAGGTTAAGGGTCAATGGCCGTTTTATAGTTCTATACAAGAAATGGGCAGGAGCCAACTGGCTGGTGATCCCCGGAATTCGCCCGTACCCTAATTACGCTTACATTTTGCAGGGTTGTCATGTTGTAATATGTCACAGTAATAGCAAAGATCCGACTATGATAGTGGTAAGTCGAAAAGTTATTCGATGTTATGACATTTCAGCTGTGTTTATGTCGCACCAACATTGTGCAGAATGTAGCATTCTACGTATTTTTTTTAAGATTCAAGTGACGGACGAACGAGTCGTCCGCCTGGTGGTAAGCGACACACCTGTCCACAGCAGTTGCAGTGCCAGTTAGATCGCAAAGATTTGAGAGGCACTGCCACTGCGCCCATCACCCTGAAGTTACATGTGCCAGTAATTTCACCCTTACTCTTTAAAACCGGAACGCAGTAATGCTAATGAAATTGGTAGAGTGGTAATACTTCCCTAGACGAACTCTTTCACAAGGAGCTCTACTGCTACTAAGTGTATTTATGATATCATAAAGGGCTGACAACTGACTGATTTTTTTACCTGTAATTTCCTTATAATAATTTTAATGAAATAACTATATGAAGGGTAACCTCGTCAATCCAGATGGCAACCCAATCACAATATAGAGAGGTTATGGCTATGAATGTATTGATGGGGTCTGAAATGAGTTAAATACAGTAATTAATGTTTTAATATTGCATTTAATGTTAACAAATTTTCAAACTTAAATCACAAAGCGCAGCGTGACAAGTTGTAAATCGGCAAAGCGTTGATCAGCCGCGTTGGACAACACGAATCACAATTTACAACAGCGCCGTACTTTTATTAAGCCGTTTCACATTCCGGCTGAAAGTCAATTAGACGCTTTATAAAACAGTGCAGCGTTAAAATTGTTTAAGGGAAGTTTTCTCCTTTAAAATATATTCGAAATTTAAGGAAGACTTTTTAATTTTGTAAAAATTATGCGTTGCTTTACTCTCAAATTAAGTCATTAAAGCACTCATTTCAATTTTTTGTTTAAAAGGAATAACATTTTTATGGTTTATTTCTAACAACTATGGCGTGAAATTATCACATAGACATCTTCTTAGATACCTATACTCAGCAATGGACATATAGGGGTTAATAATGTGTTTCATCTATAAGCGTTGAAAAAATATTACAGTCATTTTGTAGGATAACTAATTGGCCAAGTGCCAACGATGTGACTAACGGGTAGGATATTTCGTGAATTATGTGATAGTATGTTTATGCGGTGACAATTACTTATGGGTCTACATATAGTCCACACACTGACACCTCCAATGATGGGTGGGGGTTTGGACGTTATCGTGTGGCCAGCTTTACATATCCAATCTGAATAAGGCTTTAACGTGCCGTCTGTTACCCGTGTATACCACGAGAAGGGCTTTCCATGAACGCATTTTTCTTATACTCAGTGATGGGACGAACAAGTCCTTCCGGTGGTAAGCGTCTGTCCGTAACTGTTCTCAATTCTACTGTTGTTTTTTTTTGTATGAATGTTACGCGTTAACTCGTTTTCGGTATTTGTTATTTTGATGATTCTTTTTTGTTGGAAAAAGGGTACCTCAGTAGTGGTCCCATTTAAATTTGAAGAAAACAGAGGTGGAATTCGATTTCGAACGATTTCGGGTAACCGATTTCAATAAAACTTGGCAAATAGATGTAGTTCCACGAACTTTGTAACGGGACGAACAAGTAGTGCACCTGTTAGTAATCGACACGCTTGTCCATAGACGTTGCAATGCCAGTCAAAGCTTTAAATCGCAAAGATCTTTGCAGCACTGCCACTGAGCCGTCATCTTGAGACATAAATTGACAAGTCCCATGTGCCAGTGATTTCACCAGCATCCTCCAGTCGGAGTTTTAAATGACAAAGATCGAAAGGGCTGCTGCTTCTGTCACCCAGACACAAAGAGTTGTTAATTCCCTCATGCATGTTTCACCAGCACCATTCAAAATTGGAACACTGTAATACTTATGTAACAACATACAGGCCATACAGTGCACGAGAGAAGACAATAGAGTAGTTAAACTCGTAAATTCGTGAGTCGCCGCGATAGATGCTACGGTGTGACAACGTCCTTACGTACGATTTGGATAACAGTCCCTCTACCATGAGCTTACAGCGTTGACATTCGCTAGCGATCGCATTAAACATTTGTGTTGTAAATTGTATACCGGTTCTTGTTACAATTTACCGTACAAACATTTTAGGCGGTCGTTAGCTACTATCAATAACCTTTATCCCATAGGATAAATCACGTAGGATCACGGCGTAGTTTCATTCTTTGATTCACCTCTATCATCTATTACCTGCTTATATGCTGATATATATTAATATATCAGCATCATTATTAACCTTTTGTAGTCCACTGCTGAAGACCGGCTCTCAATGTGTGCAACTTTTCCTAATCCTCTGATTGTCGCATTCATTTTTATTTACTTTGTACTTATAATCTAATTTACAAAAACATAAACACTGTTATCGAGTAGCCTGTTGAGTATTTTACAGGATACGTTTCGGGGAGCCCGCACAGGTATTACGTGATTTAATCCCGCTCGCCCCTTTCTGTCACCAGTCAACGAGACACCGTGAGGGATTTCACCCTTATACCGTACATTTTTCGACAATCCGGACAAAGCGTTTTGCTTCTACTTTTATTAGGCATAGAGCCGAGTGGAATTTTTTTGCTGTATTCTGTATCACGGAACGATACAACCTAGATATAGCATAGCATAGCGAACACATTGACCTCTTCATAACTGCTCACTTTAATGTTCTTCTTTATTTGTTCCCTGTAAACCATTTTTGGTCTTCCTGACTTTATTTTCCTTACTCTTAATTATAATTTTTATGAATTTGTTACTACGTAACAGATGTTCAGACATTTTCCCCCTTCAGTTCTCTTCCCCAAATTTTAAAAAAATTTCTTTATTCGAAAATTTCTCAATCCATTTTATGTTTTCCATTCGCTTCCAGCAGCACATTTCACATGACATCTCTCCCTATCTTTCTTAGTGATTGTCGATTACTGGTAATGGATGCTTTTTGGTTGAAATGATAATGGTGATGATGGTAAAATTAGAAGTCAAATACTGGTAAAAAGATTTGGTTTTCGTTTAACTACTACACCCTTTACCATTCAACACGAAACTCGGCCTAATAGTAAATGAAACTAACTTTTCGGATCTAATCGCATATACAGGGCGTCACACGGCTATGCCACGCGGAGAGGAAGTATCTTAAATACCGTAGATAGAAAATTTAACTGAAAGAATATTATATTTTGATTTTAAAAACAATTAGAACTGAATTCAAAGATTTTTAAA